ACCAGCAAGTTACATAATAGAAGTAATGTGTTTCATAAAATATGGGACCCTTTTATGATGTACATGGGTTTGGATATCTCTACTATTTTTGTTAGAGGTTTTTTTATAATGTGAACATGTAAGACCCATATTTCTGTCACGTCATAGTCTCTGGGTCTTCCACCTGTCATTATTAATGAGCCGAATTGTTTTGTTTTGTGTTCTACTTTGTGTTTTGTTTTGTGTTCTACTTTGTTCTGTTTGTTATGGAAAAAACTGAAAAACCCAATAAATATATATGGGGGAAAAAAAACATGGTCAATATCACACATTTGCTTAGATTTAAATAGGGATCTAGAAATAGTGCAGAATCATTAATATTAAATATACAAGATATTGAACATTTACTTTTGTTGTTCTAAAGCAATATATTAAACTACAAATAAAAATAAACTACTATGTTTTTCTTACAGTTAGCTATTTTATAGTGTGGCAGTAATCCAAAATAAACATAGTTTTTTCAAGTTTAAAAACTAATCGGTTTATTAATTTTTTTCATGCATTCATGACTACTTACCCCTCATCGAAAGTACCAGTTAAAGCTATGTCCCAAACTGCATAATACAATACTAGATTGTATCTCAGAACAGTATGTCACCCAAATATGGGAGCATGTTTTGGCATTCTATTTGTCTACTGTATTTAAACAGTAGTTAGTGATTTTGGACATGGCCTTAATTTACTGAAGGAAATCTCTTACTTGGAATATTTTGAAGAGCAGCTTCAATGTCTGTTCCAGCCCGAGACACAATGGGAACAAAAGCGATGATGACATCACACTTATCCACTGAATCCACTTCACGGATCTCAAGGCGTTTTTTCAGCCGCTCCACAATCTCATGTTGGGCATCCAAGAATTTCCCACTTTGATTGATAAAGAACGCCAGTGTTTTTGATCCTGGAGACAAAATGACACACCGTCTTAGTTTGATTACTGTCAGCTTTTCCATAGAGCTTATGAATTACTGTAGAATTAGCAGTCGCATTATAAGCATCTGCAGCCAATCATTAGAGAATCAGTGAAACATTTACCCTTTCAGTCATCAGACAATAGATTAATTTTCTGTATCTGCATCCAAAAAGAAAGATATAAATCCTGTATTACATCCTATTTTGAATAAAAGTGTCGTAATGGAGGAAAGACAGTTTCCAAACTCCTCAGCATTTCTCATAACTAAAAGGAAATTCGTATTTTTATTTTTATTTTTAGTTTTATTTTTGGTGGAACAATCCATTTCAAATTCAGTTCTTCAAATTCAGATTCAAATTTTCAAAACACTACATCCTGGGACTTAGGAAAAGACAAGGAGCACTGATCTGATCGTTACAATTTCAGCCAAGGATTCAAGAATGTACTGTTTTGAAACTTTTAATCTGATTTGCTTTTTATTCATTATATTTTGGCACAAATAGAATTTCATATCCTGGATCATGAACTGAGAACTTCTGGTATGAAAAGCCATTAAGTAACAACACAATATCCATCAGTCCAGCAGGTGAATTTTGCCCAAATTCATGACTAGAAAGCAATTCTCAATTACTTTTTTGTAGTTCTGCTTTGTGGTCTGAATATGGGGATATTGCACCACATAAAGAAACTGAAATCATTATGGCACACAAACCACAATCAGCAAAGCTTTATTTGGATTTACAGTGAAAGTACATTGTAAATGCATTTTGTGACGCAGAATTATTACATACAACTCTACATATAAAAAGACATCCTGAATATATGGTACACAAGAGTCTAAAGTTGGTGAATTAACAATGTCTGGAGTCTGATAATCTCTCTTATGCCAAAGCTGAAAGAAACAAGTGAACAAACCTTGAGACATTTTGGAAGTAGACCGATTACCGAGCCTTACAGAACCGTTGCGGTGTTTGTGCTTCTGTCTTCCACAAGACTTTCCCTAGAGACTGCTAACAGACTCTACCACCTGTTTCACTTTTGGTTATACACAGCACACCATTTAGCAAGAGCCGCAACCACACACACACACACACACACACACACACACACACACACACACACCCCTAACTGCAGATCAGGAGATCAAAGTTCACCTCCATTTCTGCCATAGCCAGCAAAATCCCACATGCGGAGATCAGCTACCAGTCAAATAATATTTGTATTGTTTATTTAACACGTACAGTCACCTCCCTGCTAAAACACATACCTGTCCTGTAAAATAAACATTTCTCACAGTGGTGTGTCTCAGACAACCGGAGAAACAAGTTACCATTCCACTAACAAAAATCATTCTCATGAGAACCATTTTGTATAAAATATGAATATTTTAATTGCTTTCAGTCTCAAGGAACTCAGATGCCTTTGCCCAAGTCCTTTTTTCTTTGGAATATATTAATATTTTAATAATATCAAAATGGACTATGTAACAAAACTGTTCTTGTATTAATGTTTTACAGCCCTCTAGTGGTCGGTGTTGGTAAAGCAAAAAGCCATAAATAAATCCCTCCTGGCAACAGTCAAATCCCACAGCCACACCCCAAGCAGTTCAAGCCACAAATATGGCTCTGCTCGACCCAAAACTCTTCAACACACCAGAACCACAAGCATCAAGACTATTATCTGTACTGGTACCAAGGTGATAGAATAAACCTTCCCCTGGCTGTCTAAATAACTTTACATGCTCGCTGTCTTTAAATGTGATACGAGGGCTGGAAGGTGTTGCAGCAGGCTTTTTGGTGGGGCGCTGCTAGATTCGGTGCGACGCTGTTCGTCTGTATGAGCTGCAACTACGAGCATGGGTTATTCACCGGCTGTTTAGGAGCGCCGGCACAGATTGGATTGCTTCCTTTTTTTTTAATGAGTTGTACTCTTCGACCAACCTTCTGCCTTTACTAGAACCATGCATGGGTTGTGGATGCGTTCGGGGCTAATTGGATGACCATTTCATTTCAGCATCTGGTGAATGTGGGACTTGAGGAGGGGTACCGGAGGCGAATAGCGACGTGTTTGTCAGTATTATTTGGTTGTGTTTTTGTGTGTATGTGGTTGTGTATTTTGAATTTTTCTTTCTTTTGTTTATTTTTGTGAGCAGTTTGACTTGCTCTTTTCCTCCAACAGCCCAAGCTAAATGTTTCTTTATTGGGGTTATTATTTAAGTGTATGTTTGGTTGTGTCTTATATTTTGTTTTCTTTTTTCCTTCAGAATTGGGGGGCGCACCAAAATTGACGTCACTTCCAGGACCCAACTGGACGCACTTAATTAGGCGTCAGTCCTATCTCCTTTTATAGCCACGAAGCGTACCCTATAACCGCCCCTCATACAAAAAAATGGCAGATCACATCGCCACATATACATATACAACACTATATTTATTTATATATTTATATTTCAACCTTTTTCTTCTTGTTCCTATACTAATGTGCTGCATAAAGCTACCCAGATTACTAACAAACATTTGGTCAGTTGAAAAAATGACGAAAATCATATTAAATCCAATATCAAACCACATTAATCATGATATTTTTTGTGTATATAGCATTTAACAAAGCTGGCATTTAGTAGGATTACAGAACACACCACAGAGAATATAATTTACCATAATCTACCATAATTAATAAGAAGAACGGATTGACAAACCTCGCATCATCTTGAAGAGAGACACAATGTTGTGCACAGCTGTAGCGTTTGGACGCGAGAATCAGTTTCAGTTTCGATTTTCCACATGACTCGACTCACAAGCTTCGGTAGAACTACCTACCCTCTTCCCTTTTTTATTCCATTACACTTATTCAGCTAAATTTCTCATCACATCTTACCTACTGAAATATTAGCATAAGCCCTTCAAGCCATTATTATTAAGTCATTATGAAAAACTCAAACGCCTTCCTTCAGACTGTTATTTCTCAGCTACTGAATCATTTAAACGGCTCTTCAGATCTACGAGTCGGCTCCCACCGTTCACCCGACTCAAGGAGCCGACTCAAGGAGCCGACTCATTCACAAACGACACATCAGCTCCACTTACCTCGAGTATTATAATATGTAATCGATTCCTCGGTTAGGGAATCGACTCTTTTCGGGATCCTTTTGCAACCGTATCGGCAGAAAAAAAAATATTAAAAAAGGATGGCTGTGGTAAGAAAGTAAAAGTGTTACATTAATTTTTTTATGTCTATATGAGTAAACTATTTGCCTATTTGTCAATAATACTGCTAACTGCTGTATTGTTTTGTGAGCCAAGGAATTCTCATCTAATTAGCACACATGTAAATAACATGGAATGCTGTGGCCTGATATTTAGCAGAAAAAGTCAGTAATGTATTCTCAGGCATATTTTAATATCTCTTAAATAATATCCTCAGGCATATAACATTCACCCTCCTGCTGTCTGGCAAAAGGTATCGAAACATTCGGGCCTTCACAGCCAGACTGTGTAACAGTTTCTTTCCCAAGCCATTAGACTCCTCAATACCCAGACACTGGACTGACACCAACCCACACACACACACACACTCATGATCAGATGAACACCACTCCACTCCAATCTCTTTGCAATATTTGCGCATTTCTTTCTTAAATTACTGCTAAAACTGTCACTAATGAACAGTTTTGACCACCAGAGGTCGCCAAATGACTCTCTAGGTTGTTGACTTTGCCTAGCCTTGTAATTACCTTGCTCACCTGTACCTCATTGTCTCCCTGTCATGTGATCTATTAGCTTGTGTATTTAAACCCTGTCTCAAGTCCATGTCTTTGCTAAGTCTTTGTCTTCCTTTGTGTTGCAAACTCTGTGCCTTTTGTTACTGTTTGGATTACCTGGTCTCATGAGTTTTCTGCCTGCCTCTGTGTTAATGATTTTTGGATTTTCCCTTTGGATTTGTTTGCCTTCATGTTTGGACTTATTTTTGGTGCTTTTTCTGTGTTGGCCTTTAGAACCTTTTAATAAATCTTTTGGACACTACCTGTGTTGCTCTGCCCTTGAGTCTATATTTCCCAGTAGTCTAGTGGATTGGTGTTGGTCTATTGCTCCAGAGACTGGGGTTCAATCCCCACACCGTGACAAAAACGCTGTTCACAATATACTGTATTGACCACCTTCCCTCTTGCTGCTAACACTGTATTTATCACAGTAAATACATAGCGTCATAGTATGGTATGTTTACTTTTACAGTATTTTACTATTATATTGTTATAGCTTTTGCACAACCTGTTACATATGGCACTCTGTCCACTTAATCCACACTACAACTGTGTCCTAGTCGGCACTGCGCTGTCCTTTAATGTGCCTACTGTCCTGTTTTAGGAAATTTATACTTGTCCTGCTCTGTTTGCACATGTGCACTTTATGTAGTCCTGTGTAAGTCTGTGTAGTTGTTAGTTAGTTCTGTGTAGTCTCATGTAGTTTTGTGTTGTTTTATGTAGCACCATGGTCCAGGAGGAACGTTGTTTCGTTTCACTGTGTACTGTACCAGCTGTATATGGTTGAAATGACCATAACAGCCACTTGACTTGATTTTGTGAATGCCTGTTCATATAGAAATGCATACAATAGTATATACATTTTATTTAACAGTTCAGGTACATGCATATAGTTATAAGCCATTCATTTCATTTTAGCCTTAGCATGTGAAATATTGCTGATTAGAGGCAAAAAAAGATTTCATAAGACCATTATATACAGCTACAATCATATATTTGACACTTTAACGTTATCGTGTCTTTGCTTTGCTTTTTAATGTACATTAAATTTAGCCATCATTATAAAGCTAAGAGCACCAGTGGTTGGTGTGTACAAGAAAGTCTTTTATTATTATTATACTAGAATTGTTTAAAGATTGCATCCTACTTGTCAAAATAGTCCCATACTTATTCAAAAACATTTTAACAGGAACAGTTTCTACAGTAATTTAACTGTAGCTAATTTACAGAAATCAGGTAAATGTATTGTTTTTAGGAATTCATGTTTATGGTAGTATTAGGTTGCGGTGTAGGTACAGTGTGCTTTTGCCATTGCTTTAAGTAAAAGATAATGCAAATGACTGTCGCTACTGCAAAAACAGCAATTAAAGTGATACAGATGATGAGTACCAAGGACCCACATGATCTAGGTGATCTGGTTGAGTCAAGCTGTTGGGAAAAAAAAAAAAAGACATTAAGACACAAGAGTTATACACGAGTACTGATTTGTGCTGATAGCTCTGGTTAAAAAAAAAAAGAATGAAAATGTAATAATGGCAGTTCGTGGATAATTGGTAAATAAATGCTGTTGTCTCTGTCTACCTGGGTATTGGGTGAAGCTCCAATAGAGGTCAGATGATCAGTGATGGCTTTCAGCGCCTCATCATTGCGAAGGGATCTGAGCAGTCCCAGGTCTTCATAACAGAGCAAGTCCACAGCTAACACATCATCCCTGTTTACGATCCTTTGGCTTATTGGAGCAATGTGATTCTCATCAAATGTGAAGTGGAGCACCATGAGAACAACAGGCTTACCCGCTGGAATAATGAGAGATTAACAGGGCAACATTGTGTTAATAAAGGACACTCTATTTGCTCAGAAAACACCATGGATGGAAGATGGTTTGCATCAGAAAGAAAGAGGAGTGGTCCAATGCCCAAAGAAAATAAATTTTCTATCTACTTCAGTTTGCCATTTTTTATTTTTTCTCTATTCCAATTTTCATTTTTAAATTATAAAACTAATTCTCCTCTTCTACAGCTTATTGCTATAACCAACGATGAGTTTAGAGGCAGTACACTGTAGAAGCACCAAATTACAATCTGTTTCAAAACTAGAAAGGTCAATGCAGAATTTGTACAAAATTAAGAAACCTGTGTACTTTATCCAGTACTATGTACCTTTATTTAGCATTACATGGCCTTAGGTTATAAGGTTCTATCTCCCATTGGGTTTGGGTATTAGCGAAAATGGCAAACTGAAAGAGATGAACATTGTACCATCATAATTAATAGTATGTTAGATTTTTACATGACTTATGGAGAATAGGAGACTATGCTGGCTATATTGGTATTCTATTTTGCCATGTATGTGTCAGCGTGGGAAAGCCTGAGAGTTGTCACTGTGCCTCTAAATTGGGTTTTTCTGCGTATAAAATACTTTCACACCTCAGCTTTAAGAAATCATACATACATTTTACCAAAAAGACATGAAAATGTTTTTATTTATGTTTAAATTGGTGGTACACACAGCTAGTCTGTCTAAAGATTTCTAAAACCTTGCTAGCTAAGTGTGATTTCCTTACAGAGTTAATATTTTTGAATAGCTATGTGCTACAGTGAAGCGGACATAAGTCAGTTTATAATCATGTACCAGCTGGCAAAATGTCTGCAATGCTCCTGCGCAGCATTATGAAATCTTTAAATGAAATTTTGTCTCTTTTCATTTTTGGGGGTAACATTAAAATGCTAGAAGTTTACTTAGATACATAGAAAAGGGAAACAAATTTCAGTTCAGGAAAGTCGTTTTCAGTTCAGGAAAGTAGTTTTCAGAGCTAGTAGAAAAAAAATTTAATTTCACTGTGAGAAATTTTCCCAGGCCACCACACATATAATCTAATAGATTACTCCTTACTTCTAGGGATGTTCTGAAGGGCAGCTTCAATGTCCGTTCCTACCCGAGACACAACTGGGACAAAAGCAATGATGACATCACTGTATTCCTCTGCAGACACTTGAGTGAGCACAAGACGTTGCTTCAGCCGCCTTAATATCTCTTGATGGATATCCATGGTGTTCCCCATTACCTTCAGGAAGAATGACAGTTTTTTGGAATCTGGAAAAAAAAAAGACACTCAGTTGCAGTATAACCTTCTGTACAATGGTGAGCTGAAAGTTAGCTGAAAGTCTACAATGAAGACTAAGCAAGCCTTTTTTGCTGAATAAATTTTAAACTTTATATTAATTGTTATACTTTATAACACAAAGTATTTTTAATTAATAAATTTCATTAAAAATAAAACGCATTTATTGAAATGTATTTCATAACTGCCTATTTTTATCATTCAGGCACAAATGGAACACACTACACTAGTGTAGTGTAGTGTAATTTACACTAATAAATTATTATGGCACACAAACCACCTTAAATTTTATCAGATCAGTCCCAAACATAGAGATAGGCTTTATCTAACATCACCCTCTGTCCCTACTACAGGTATTCTTTCATAGAGGATTCCAAGTAGAACCCTTTTAGGAAGCTAAAAGCCCTTAAGCAACCAAAGAACACTTGTGGTACCTTTTTTGCCCCTAAGAATACTTAGCCAGTGCTTATTTGTGCCTGTTAATTACATTTGTTCAACTGTTCATGATAGTATTTGTAGATATGTGATATTGTACCTTTAGTCAAAAGTGAAAGCTGTTATAAAATCCATGTGCGATCACATCTGGTTCACCTGAGAGCAGTAGTCTCAGGTTCTTTTCAGGTGAATATGTGAAAGCAGTCAGCTTTATAGAACTACACAATGGAGAACAGGTTGAAAGGAAATTGCTTGCGTGAAAACAGATTTGCGATAATGAGGCTTTCCTTCTTACGAGCCGAGAATACTTCCTGAGTACAGACTTTAGTATTCAGACCAAGTGGAAATGAAGACACTCTGTACAGCAAAGATTATAGCAGGCTCTCCTTTTTGAGGAGGCTCACAGTTTTCAGTCTTCAGCAGCCATTGGGGGTTTTTATCTGTTGTCTTTCATGGCCATGGTTCTTTTCTATGCTGTGGTCTGCTGGGGTGGTTTAGCGTCACTGCAGGGAACTGCAGAGTCACAGGACTAAATCTAAGCTCATTAGAGGCAGTGACAGTGAAGAGAAGCATTTTTGGAGAACATTCTGAACATTTCTGCCCACATACTCCTTGGTGTGATATCCAGGACCATGTTAAGCCACCAGATCATTTTACTAATGTGACTTTCTTTTAAAAAAAGAAGGACTGGGGATTTTTTTTTCTATCCACTCCTATCAGGTTCCACAATACTTCCTCCCAGTGTGCTATCCTGCCTCCTGTTTACATTATCCATTTTACAAATTATTATCGGGCAATACCACTCTTTTTTCTGCTTAATTTTTGTAAACAGTAATGTTTTTGCAAACATATGAAGGTTTCCTGCTATCACACTATTAGTTCATAGTAATTAGGTGTATTTATTCTGTTTATTTAATATCCTGTGCTAATCTGCTACTAAATTTCCCCTTGGGGATCAATAAAGCCCATCCATCCATCCATCCATTCATCTCCAATATTTATTAATCTAATTGATATTATCTAATCTAGTCTGATGTATGTTTTTCTTAATGTGTCATGGCGGAAACACAGTGTGCACCTGATATGACGCCCAACATCTTTTTCTTCTCCTGTCTTTTTCACTGTTAAATAAAAATTTTGTATTTGTATTTTTTTAAAGTAGCATGCCCCAACTGGATTATGTATCTCTTGGTGCTGTGACACACTTTGCTGTAACTGCAGCTCATTTCCAAATCACACCACATACAGGACTGAGAATCCATTTTGTCTGATAGTAAGAACTATTTTTATTAGTTAAATAAATTTTTATTAATATATGAACTTCAGATACATATCATGCTCATAATAAATTTTTTGTTAGCTACTACTTTTAATTTAGTTAGGAAAGTTAGCCAGCTTACATGACATGTAAAACTAGACTGCAAAATGTCCTGCAATTTTAGATTATGGAGGATTCAGGAGAACATTTGCCTTTTTTTTTGTAAATACATGAAGGAAAAGGGCACAAACATGCATTTATACCCTATGATACAGTATACAGTATATGTTTAATATACTGTCCTGTGTTTTGCAGACAGCTGTAGAGTTTCCAGGCAACTATAATATGGGACTGGCTTTGACTAGCTAATGAATTTATGTATTAGTGTATGTTATGTATATTCAAGTTATATAGGTATGTGTGTGAAGTTGAATCTGGAATTGCAAGGAAAAAAACCTTAAATGTATAGCATCATATTCATAATTTTTAAAATTATGTATCTAATGACTTTGGAATAAAATGCATGTTGAAATCGTTTAAGAACAGGTG